GGGCGGGAGGGAGGGGGAGAGATGTGATTCCGGTGGCAGAGGACGAGTGCCCGTATCAAATGAATCTACAGAATACTCCGATGTCTATCCACTTTCTAAGATGTAATTAAACGATCCACCTGGTCTTTCACTTGATAATTAGACATATATTACACCCTCCTATCCACGGATCTCTTAAATTTCTCAGTTAGTCATACACAACTGTGAAAGGGGCTATCTATTGCTTTGCAAAACCTTTTCACACAAACACGTTTTACAAATTGAACGAACGGTGAAGTAGACAGATGAACTGGCAACACAACGGTTAATGAATAACTACTATCGTGTCGAGCTAATACCCGATCCCATTACAGGTTATTAGGGCTAGGAACGAAGATAACAATCATATTTCTTTTCTCTCTGGGGTATTTTTGTGTGTGTGTGTGTGTGTGACAAAAGATGCAGTGAAAGGTCGGTTTTGCTTGTTCTTCTTCCGTTAACTACTTTCACCAGACAAGCAAGGTACACCACTTATTGTTGTGCATATATTGAAACGTGTCCAGTAGACTGAAAGAAACGGGATGAAATAGTTTGTTAGAAAAGGGCGTAGCCCCGTTCATTTAGCTCCCTTGCCTGTCCTCCTGTACACACACACACACACGGATTGCTAATTACTTGAATGTGGACAATTCGTCGTGACCAAAGCACCGAACTTGATTCGACTTGTCGAAATACGCCCGTCCGTTTGTGTGTGTGTGTGTGTAACAAGGAAACTGACCTGGATAGTGAGCTCGCCACCCATTTCGGTGAGTATTGCCCAGAATATGCAGTAATCTCCTCCCCATAGCACTACACTTCCGTGGATGATCAGTCTCTTTGAGTGATCCACAATTGTGACTATCAATCTGATAGATATATCCATCTTCCGCGCACCCATCCCACTGTTCGTTTCATGTCCACTCATATTAGCTAGCTACGTCCCCAAAAAGATGCTTCTCAGCTGCTGCATATCACACTGCGTTTTCTTGCACAACTTGGACTACTTGTCTGTTGCACAATCGGAAACGAGCGTGACTTCATGTGATCGATTAGTCAGATCATACGGTTGCCAGGCAAACGTTTCGGGATCGTTCTTGGAGCTATTTCGGTCTGGCTGTACACACTCGTGTGTCATGCGGTCAGGGGTGGGCGGATGAGGTGATGATAGCCCCGTTTCTTTCTGATTTCCTACCTCTGTGCAAAAATTGTGTCGATTTATACTATTATCGAGTTCGTTTAGTAGAGTAAATTGCAGTGCGAGGGTGAGCTTCCCTGACGAGCAAGCATGTCACAACAAATGGATAAATATGCTACTGCAGAGCACGTTCATGGGATACGGATAAGGGGAACTTGCCTGGATGTATGCAGGCAGGTGAGGCAGGGGAACCGTCAATCAATATCACAGGTATTCGTTACGTTATTTATTTTTGGAGTGATGATAATTGTGTTTTTGTGTTACACTTTCACCTTGATTGACTCACGTTTTACTGGCTGATCTATAGTGCATGCATACGACATATTTTCGAGTCCTTGTTCAATCGATCAGCCTATCCCTGACATATTTATACGCGTTCACGGACGCACACTGGTACACTAAAACAACAACTCATCAATCAATCGATCAATCGGGGCATTCTCTGCTCCGATTAACATGGATTATTTTCAACTAACGATGGTTCGATTATTTTCGTAAGATGGGGTTTTAAACATAAGAAGGCAATTTACACGTTTTGCGATGTACAAGTATGAACGTGAGTCCCCATTATGGTTCTTCGAAAATAAGCATGAGCATGATTTGAAGAAAAATTTCAACACGACCTCATCTCGAAAAGAACAAAACAAGTCAAATTAAACAGAACATATTTGGTGAGAACCAGGTGAGTTAGATTAATTTACTTATGTATGTATTTATGTATACGAGATTAAAAATAAGAACTTTCACGATTTTATCGATACCGGTCATGTAAAGTACTCACGACCACGGACTCAAGGTTTTGATCACTGAACAAATATATCTCACAGGTAAAATTCTCGGTCCCCAACCGGAAGTGATACGCTGTTTAGGAATCCTAAAACAGTGAGTTGTCTATCGTGCTGTTTGTCGGTCGGTCGTTAAATATGAATTTATCATCAGGAAGAATCGATCCGGTGATTGCTGTTTGATGATGAATACAAATTTTAGAGATTATGATTAGTAAGGTATTCCAAAAGCTATCTGTGAATGGAACTGAATGAGTGTATGTTGAATAATGAACGAAGAGAAATCCGTTAATAGGTCTTGAACGGAATGCAATCTAGGTGTTGTTGTTGTTGTTGTTGGTGGTGGTGGTCAAGCGATATTTCTCGTCATCACATCACCCTGAATGTTGTGCTAGAATTGCACCACTAACCGCCACCTGGATTCCCCCGCTCGTTTTCGTTGCCATGCGGTAGACGTATAATTTGCAGTTTCTCCATTCTCGAGAACTATCTTTATACAGATTGATACAGGTTGAATAAACGGTAGAAAAAGGAAATAAATATGTATTCATGGAATAATATGCTCAGACATTCATCCAACGAGAGGTGGCGGTGGCAGTCAGTCTTTTTTACTGGTCACTGAGACATCGGCTCAGAAGTCGAAAGTTCGAATCCCACCATGGTCACAATTCGAAATTTCCTTTTCTATATGTGTTTCCAGACGGCTCACCCTCTTCCTGAAATTTGTTTGTACTAGCTTATATTCAATGAAACGCCTTAATTTATTATTATTATTATTATTATTAATAAAAGCAAAATTGAGCCTCATTTTTGATAAGGTAAAATGAAAATGGTCGGTTGTTCCTCCCCACCCCACCCTACCCTACCCCCCTCTGTGAGCGTGTTCGCCCCTGTTATCGCGTGAATTTATCTTCCGAAAACATATATATGTACGCAGGATAAAGGGAGAGGGATGAACGGGAAGAGCTGTCTCTTTTCACATCCTATTATTCCTCTTCTTCTACCTCCATACCGCCCGCCATAGTCTGTAGACTGACACAGGCGGAACAATCAACGACTGTCTTCCTCACTCATCGCCAGAACAGTTTCAAGGAGTTTGAGGAACAAATCGGAGCTACTACTGGCTAGGGGGTGGGTTGGGGACGAGTGTTTGAAAAATGAGATATTATTTGAAGTGATGCATATACAGTCCATGCGTAGGCGGAGCCGGACTTGGCCGATTCAAACAATCCGTTTGTGCGTTTGGGATTAGGCAGTCTGGTCTGGACACGGTGTTCACTGTTCCTGATTGGTCATTCCGTTTTTGGGGGAGAGTGAGTGAGTAGTTCTGTCTCACATCTGATGCTCACTGGGGGCACATGTGCACACGTGCTCACGCATCTGTCCACTCACTCACTCACTCACCCAGTAACTGGTTGGGTGTGCACGCCTGTTCAAGCCACACTTCGGTTGCATGTGTTTGAAAAATTGTCAACGCTAGGACTGAGCACGGACAAAACATCACCGAAAAACTGTTGCCATTTCCCTCACACGCACACACATACACACATAGACATTGGTGACTGAGTTCGACCGATACAGGCTCCTCGAAACCACAGATTGTGATCCGTGGCCGTGCTCGGCGGTAGTGACCGGAAATGGAACCGTGTACACCAACTGATGAAGTCCAGGACAGCAAAACCGATCAGTCGACAAGTTCCCAAACTGAAAGAGCACTGATGCTAGTCAAAGTGCTGAACGAACTTCGCAATCAGTGGGAACAAACGGAACCGGGTAAAACGGACGCCCTCGGTACGTCATCCGATCTCGCTTGGTCACGTGTGTACGAATATCTCAGTCAGCAAACATCTATTATGGTCAATGGCCTGAATGCTGGAAAACCGGACGGGACATTCACATTGCACAGTACGGATGAGAATGGGACAAATCATTTGAGTCCGATGCACAGGTATCGATCGACCGCTTCGACCTGGTTGAGTAATCCGAGCAATGCCGGTCATGTCGGTGTGATGCTCGACGCGTTCGGATTAAATGTGCCCCATTCGAGTGCAGGTCTCGAGCCTGGGACAACACAAATCGGCAGTACACATGTGAAACGTCCGATGAACGCATTCATGGTCTGGTCACGTGGACAACGGCGTAAAATGGCTCAAGCCAATCCGAAAATGCACAATTCGGAAATCAGTAAACGTTTGGGTGCGGAATGGAAACATTTGTCCGATTCGGAGAAGAGACCGTTTATTGATGAGGCCAAACGGCTTCGGGCCAGTCACATGCGAGCACATCCGGACTACAAATATCGACCTCGACGAAAACCGAAAATGTTGACAAAACAGGACAAGTTTGTTTATCCTCTACCGAGCTCATCAAGTAAGTTCATATGATAACACTGAGCATAAATGTGACGTAATTTGTTTTTTATTTTAAAAGATAATAAATGTTTTCATTGGTAACCGCTTTAAGGATGGAACTATTCACAGGGGGGCCGAACAAAAAATGATTAGTTCTTAACCAATAAATTACAGAATGCTTTACCCTAGTCCGAACAATTACTACGAGATTGATTTTCTCTCTCTCTTAGCAATTATTATTCTTGTATTACAACGTCCCGTTCGATTTGGAACATTTTACTTCACAAATATCAGCATTTAGTGGATGAGGTCAGTTTGATTTGAATGCGTGGTTTTCCTCCTTGGGACGTGAACTATCATACTGGACTTACGATGAAAGTTTGAACGAAAACTCCGACCTACTTTTACATTCGTGTAGATATGTGTTGAAAGTATAGCCCAGGAGTTCCGGAGGGTAGCTTCAAAACCCCCGGTCTGGTGGTTCGTGGTTCGAACCCTTTCAGAGACACGAAGTAGTAAACACTGAGATCGGGTCCCTATAAGGAAAGTTGAACGTTCTTCGTGGGCCATCATGCAGAGTTGTAAAGTTGTACCGAAAGTTGTGCGTCGAAAACTAGATTTGAATGTATGGGAGGGAGCCGGGGTTGTTGACACTAGTATCATTGGTATACATGCTCTAATGATGTATTACTGGTCAAGCCTAGTCAACTCAGAGTTGAAAATGAGCGGGTTGGCGCTGGTTTAAACCTTCACTTTTTTAGGTGAAAACGATGTAGAATGAAACATGTAATTGTTGCGCAGTTTAAAATAAACATTGAGAACAACGTGACGAACGAACTGGTTTTCAGTTATTTGTAATCAAGCAATTACATAACGTTAAATATGACTAGCAGTAGAATAAACAGGGGATGAGATTCGAGTCCTAATGGTTCATCTCCGGCTCGAATCATGCCTGCATGTATGCTTGTTCGCAATTCATCACACAGTGTCAAAAGTCCAAGTGATTGCACACGTGTTGGAGTGGATGAATTAGGTCAGGGGAGATCATATGCTTGCATAAATTTCTTCTGGAAGCACACGGTGTGTGTGTGTGCGCGCGCGCGTGAATACGAATACTTATTAGGACTTGAATCTATCATTCCTTCCTTGTTTGTTCGTATTGTTAGTCATATTTGTACGTTATGTAATGACATGATTACGATAACTGAAAACGAGCTTGCTCGCCAAAGGTTGTTGTTCTCAATGTGTTCTGTGGGACTAATGAAATGTTTAAAAATAAACATTGTGTCTGAATGAATCAAATGAATTAATATCATGCAGTATGATCCAAACGGACGATTTGTCATACACGGAGAAAAGCTGAATTAGCTCACTTTACAAAACCCGATCAGTTTCGGTATCACACAAAAATTCACTTTCTTTTAAGTAATAAATAACTCCCCCCCCCCAAAAAAAAAAAATACAGCAAAAGCTCCAACTGAAAGAGCAGGAAAACCACAAATGATTCGAGCTTCAGGCTGCGAAAATTGGTTTTATCCGTGTCCCTGTTCAATCATTTTTTCCACTTTGGGGTTTTTCCACCGTCGCGTTCCGCGTGATAGTCGCCATACCTATGAACCTCAAAACGAGAGCATTCGGTTGATTCCAAGCGTCTAGTCGATGTCAAATAAATCGAGGTTAGGTTTAGTGCGATTGCTCTTACCCATGCAAGTTACCTCTTCAGTGTTTGTGATATGGTTACATGACTACAAGTAGGCTACCTCGGTTGGTTACAGAACGTTTATGCTCAGATTGCCGGGCTCGGCGAGTAGATGAAGCCAGATTTAGCCAATTTGAGTTATGAGAATCAATTTTCCGTATTGTGTCATCATCATCTCTATTTCAGTTTCGAGCACAGTACATGGAAGATGATAATTTGGAGGCGGGGCTGATCAATGGGATGTAATTAGACGCATAAATGCGCGGTCACTTGGGTGTAAAACTAAGGTTTGTTCGCGAAAGGTGGTTGCAGCGGGCAAGTCCTCGTATTGGAGGAGGTTTTTCGGTTCATTTGAACTGGCCACGTCTCTTATGTTTGTTCCGTTCTTTCTCTTTACGGTCTAAATTAACAGACTAAAATATTCAATATGGGTTAAAAATGAGAGCCCTCATGGACCTCAAACAAGTCTATCTAAATACCTAGAACGCTGCTCCAAACTCCCACTCCCAACGGTGCAAACTTGTACCATCCCAAAATTGTGTCCCACACATCAACCGACCTTCGTTCACATATGGGAAGAAATAAGCATTTGCTATCCTCACCGATTCGGCAGTAATGAATGCGAAAGACGGTACCAAGTGTTACCGGTGGGTCGTTGGGGTTGTGAAACAACTAGACGCACTCTAAGATATACAAATATTGATGGAACTGGTGCAACATACTTATCATTTGGGAAACATATTTCAGTTTCCAATATCACACGTGTATATCGATAGCTATGGATGAAGAGCATTTATTCCAAACTTTATCTGCCACTGCAATGTTCTCAGTTCTCGCGAATGACCGTTCGAAGTGGCGCGATCTTGAGTGTGACGATGATATTTGTAGAATTGAACCAGCATGGCAGTTCGTTATTTTTAATAAATGATTGCTGCTTCCTGAGGGTGTTTATTCCGGTCAATACACGTATTCTTTTTATTATTATTCTGTACACATGTAAATAGGCCGATTAAGTAAAATGGTTTACCTTGACTAAATAGGTCAAGAAATCTGACATTTTAATGGCATTCGACAACAAACGTCGATAGTAATACAGATAGATATTTTGCATCTGATTTGGGGCACTATTATATTCCCTCTTGTGAATGAGGCTCAAAACACTACCCGTTGAGAGGAACAACTGGGAGTGTGTTGCACGAGTTTAATCAATATACCTGTACCGTTTGCCACTTGAATAAATAGGTACGACAAAGCGGTTGCATATCCCGGTCCCTATTTGAGAGTGCTATTCGGTCCGGATGAGGCCAAGTGAACTGGTTTGCACACTGACCGAACTATGACTGACCCTGAAGTACCTCATGATGTTGAAAGAGTAATTTAAGGCGCTGCTAGAACACAGACCAATCTTCATCTACCAGAACCACAAAATCCACACACACCCCACCTCGTCCCAAACACATTGGTGATGTCAAGATGTCCGGTTATGTAAACTGCATCACTCGGTACTCTGTGTATACGCAGGGCTACTAACTAGATTGGCAGATTCTAATCCCAGTGAGTACTTCTAGGGACAGATTAAGAGAAAAACCTGAAAACCTGACGGAACTGAAGAGAGTGCTGTCGAGTCAGTTCTACTGGCTGCGAAAGCATTTGACTACTGAGAAAATTGATCGTTTGTGTGTGTGTGTGTGTGTATGTGTACTTGTTGACCACATGTAACCGCAGGAGGGCGCTCGGATACGCTTTATTCGGCTATTGTCATTGTAAAATTGGGTTTAGTGGATTGGATAGTGTTGTGTGTGGTCCGAACGGGTGCAAATTTCATATTTTGTTACCAATAAGATGATCAAATATCAGGTAGGCAGTTCTGAGTATTGATTGCGGACCGTCAGGAAAAATAAAGTCAACCTGTATTGTGGCTTGATTTGAACACATGACCTGGAAACTATAGTCAGAAAGTGATATATCTGTTTTGATCATGATCGCCATCACCACCACCATCACACTGAGGCATGCTCATCTTTTTAATACTATGTCTTGTAAACCACCATGCGGAAGTTATGTGATCAACAGTAGATCAAAACCTCTGATAATTTTATACTACTACTACTACTACTACTACTACTACTACTACTACTACTACTACTACTACTAC